GGTTTCATAATTTGAACTTCTGCTCACATCTAATTTTTGAACCAATAAATTTCGACCCACTTTATGCGTTTCGAGATTAATTTCGAGTATTTCGAACATATTTTTTTCTCGCACGTTCAAATAACGACGAGTCTTCGAGGGAGCGAGAATCAATCACAACAAATGTACTTTCTAGATTGGCAGTCGTCGTCGTGTAACGATGACGCGGAGGTTTTCTACACAGTTCGGCGAACCACTGAGCGAAGAGTCACAACGATACGTGAATGAAGTGCGCTCGAAGATAACACAGCCAATAAGTCCTACGGTAATTTTCGTAATTTTTTTCCAATGTGGAGCATTAATGAAAAAAATGTTGGACGTAATGTTTTCAGTTCAACACGGATTTCAACATCTATCGATTTGTATTGTCAGCTGAACGACTGCATAAGAAAGAAAAGGATATAGTTGAATCAGCTGCAAAAGCTGTCAATAATCATTTACGCCTTCGCAAAGCACTTGACCTGGTCAGTTGCAAAACTATGATCAATTTATCATCAGTTATTATTTCTGTTCAGCATCTGGGTCAATATACGAGAGTATTAATGTGAATCATTGATTGTTGCGCGTGCGTTAATGACACTAATATACAGGGGGGGGGGGGCAATAAAAAGACATTTTGTCTCCACTTTCAGATGGATTTAAGCACACTTTGCTCAATTGAGACCGAGTGTTCCCAACTTAATATTGAAGAGCACATTTCATTCTATAAGAAAATCTTCATGTTGGCCACCCACGTGGACGGCAACAGAAGAATTTGCCCTGGAAACATGGTGCACTGGTCGAGCTCAATGGGGTCTTCGAAGGATCGTGTACCCCAACATAACGACCTTTACTGGAAAGCCGAGTTTGAGAGGGTTCGCATAGTACGACTCTCAATCTAGGAAGCTACCTAAGACTGGTTCGACTCGCAACCAGAAATTATGTAAGAGCTTCAGGCTGAAGCAGTTACTGTAGGCCTCCTTGAGCTTGACGACGGATGACAGATGACGTCATATTCTGAAGACGGTGAGGGCAGTGAAGGAGGGCCGTGTACTTATAGAGGGACATTTAGGGAATACTTTGCTGAGGAACCTCCGTAAA